CAACCACTGTCCAAATGTTGAAAGTTTTGCGCGTTTTTGCGCAACAGCTACGACAGCGACGCTTTTTCGAATTTGCAATTTTGTCAAACACGACGGGCTGGTTGCATCATGCAACAATGGACTTACCAAACAACAGTAGAATTATAAGTATCTTCTTCTTTATTGGCATAGACACCGCTTACGGGGTTAAAGTCGAGTTTACAACAGCGCACCAGTCGTTTTACCTTTTTCGCTCTTTGGTTCCAAGGTAAACTAAACTATCTATAACTTCGCAGTTATTGGCTTTTTCGGCTGATGCTGTTGCATGATGAAATATTTGCATTTCTGAACTAAAAATGAGCGAAATATTTTTAATCAGTACTATTGTTGATAAATTGGAAATTTCTCAAGAAGACAAGAAAAGATGAACCGTTCAAAATGAGAGTTATTTTTGGCGAGAATCTTTAAAGTTAAGCGGTTGATTCCAATAGTAGCGAATAAAACTCATAAATTTTTCATCAGGAATTGAAAGTAGCCATTCAACCATTTTGGACTAGCAATCGGCGCAGGCGTATTGGATACTGTTTAGAAAACTGCTTATATGTTATCTTGTAGAGGTTGGTAAATACCACTAAAATATTCAGGAAATTAAGCACATATCTAAAGCAACAGCTCATAAAATATTTTTTGGCATCGTGGATATTATTTCTTTAGCGTTAAATAATGAAATAATGTGGTCTTCCGCTGTATGTCAATATGAGACAGTGAAAAGAATTCAGAACAGTAGTAATAATCCGTTTCCGTTCCCAATTGGGTGTCTGGATTATTTTAAAATACCAACCTCAAAGGAGGATGTCATTAGTTATTACAATCGAAAAGGCACACATTTCATAATAATGCAGGTGAGCTTAGTTTCGATTCGATATATTCCGACTATTTTTAAAGTAATATTACAATAAATTACCATATGTGACAATAAATTTCGTTTTTTCGATGCATTTTTAGCTACCTTTATGGGTTGACATGATGCGAAAGTATGGAAAAGTAGCCAAAGCTATCACTACTGGCCAAGTTAAGCTGGCTGAGAACGACTCTGCTGACTCTATTTCAATGTTCCTTATGACTCCATATAGAGACAACGGAAACCTCAACCGGTATTTTTAAACAAAACTTTAAAATTTCACACTACATTAATGTCAGGACTATTAAAAAAAGTGTCATCCATAATATTATCATGTGCATTATTACAAATTTTTATTATAAATAGAGAATTTTCAGATTGATTGGAACAACTAATGGAATCCAAGACCAAAATTCCCAACAATTTATTGTTGATAGCGAAGACCCTGTTGGCATTCAAATGAGAAATAACTTGGCAACTTTTATTGCATCTTTGATTTAATACATTTATTTTCACATGGATATATATAGCTTATTCAACATAAATAAAACACAACAATTCACATTAAAATATATTTTAGTATTAGTTTAACAAGTTTGGAGATCAATATATTCAAACTAAATGTAAGATCTAGTTACAGTTTTACAAAAAAAAAGAGTTTTCAAGTCGGTCAGAGTTTTAATTCATTCCACATTAAAATATATATGCATTAGTATTTATGTCACAAGTATAGAGAGCATTATTTTAACATTAAATGTAAAACTGTAATTATTCTTTTGTAAAATATCTTTCAAGTCGATAAGTGTATTAATCCGTTTTTGTTCAATTTCGACTTTTTCTGTTCGAGCTCATTTACTTTGTAGTGACGTATTTTTCTTCGACATATTTAAACAGTAAAGTTTTTCGTTTCCCTCCTCCATATTATGTGGTGGATTGATTGAATGACGTACGTTACGTACAGTGTCGGACAAAACTCATTGAACTAAATCAAATCTCAGAAATTTTCTGTCATAACTTTTTACATAGATGCATTAGAAGAATAATTTTTTTGCAAAATAAAGACCGCATATTCTATATTAAGGTACAATACAATTTTATTTTTCAACTTTTATGTAAAATTTGTATATTATAACAAAAATAAAAAAAGTAAAAAATTCGCGCGACATAACTCATTGGACTTTAGCTCAATATGAAAATAAATTCGTTTTAAATTAATTTTTTATTGGGTAGCCATAATTTTTAATGATTGCAGCACATCTTTTAGGTATAGATGAAATTAAATTATTAATATGTGTGTCCTTTATTCCATCCCAGGCTTGTTTCAGGGCATCAAATAGCTTGTTTTTATTACCGTGGACCTGTTCCCTATTAATCTGCCTGTTGACAATTTCCCATAAGTTTTCAATCGGGTTTATATCAGGAGACTGGGCGGGCCATCTCATAACACAAACTTGTTCTTCCAAAAGCCAATCCTTTACAACTTTTGAAGTGTGTTTGGGG